TGGCTCGACGGTCGGCCAGTGCGGGGCATTCAAAACGCCCGTGCCAAATTCCATCGATGGTGCCGCGCACTCCGTCTCGACAGAAAGGGACAGAGCGGCTCCAGCTGGTAGCCCCTCTTGTGAAAGTGACTTGCCGTCACGGAACACTTGCGCCATCGCACGTTTTTGGAGCTTGCTAGGGCGCTTTGAATTCCAGAAGGACCTGGGGGGTTCGACCCAGAGGCCCCGCTCCAATATCTCAGACGCCCGCTCGTGTTCACAGTCTTTAAGCCTGGCCTGCGCACTCTGCTTCCCGTGCTCCCTAGCTAGGCCCCTGACGAAATATTCACCAACTGAAACATATGGTATACCAGAAAGAACGCATGGATAACCGTCGCGCATTGTAAAAAAATCCCAGGGCCACGGATTGACCATCCAGCTCTGGGAACCCACTGAAGCATATCCCCACAAGTCCCCAGGCCAGACAGTTCCAAGACGCTTTCGGTCGCATCTTCTGGAAACGGTGAACCTCGGTAACCAGCTTGACCAGGTCCCCAACAACAACGCAGCCCCCAGGCCGAAGTTTATCATCCGTGGATAACCAGAACTCTTTCGCAAGCCGAGTTGAGGTAGCGCCTGCATGCTGGATCGGGTCCTTGCTAGGCTAAGGTCGAGGTCCGCACCGCCAGTGGTGATTGAGGTTTGCTTGACCGTGCTAGGGCGAGGTTGAGGTCCGCACCGCGCGCGGTGACATCTAAAAGAGCCTGCAGCATGTGACCTGGGCTCCCTGATCTCGCGGGGCGTCCACCCCACCACCTACTCACCGTGAGTCGTGGCCGGTTTAACTCCGCAGAACCAAATCTTGGCCCTGAGCCTCTTTGTGTTTTTGCAGCTCCGAGTCTTGGCTGGACGCTGTCTCCCTTCCCTCCACCTCTCCTTTGGTTTGGCCTTAGCTTGGGAAATGGACTTGGTCTTGCCGGGCGCAAAGTCCACGCCCAGGTTGATGATGGAATGATTGAGCTCGCCAGCGTACTGGCCCAACTGGCTCTGCGCGAGCTCGACGAGCTGTGCTGGTGCCAGTGATCGCAAACTTGTTAAAGGCAAAGCGCAAGTTGAAGAGGGGGGGCAGCTGCTCTACCAGGAATGCCATAGGCAGGGCCATTCTCCGTACACACTTGCTGATACAACTATCGTACATGTTCAACGAGACATCATCTATGTGCACGGCTATCGTGGGTCCGAAACTGGGCTCCAGGAAACGATTCGCCGTGGGTATGCAGTAGCATTGTATATTAAACGTGCCGGTACTACTACCAGCCACGATCCCTTGCCCAGGCGTCACCTCCTCCGAGACCATCCCCTCCATACTCAATACACGTGCCCACCTATATGAGTGAATGGCACATCGTGCAGTGAAGAGGGGCTATTGCCAGTCCGTGCATGCGCGTGCAAGTTGCGGATGTTGCACATGTTCATTACATTGCTCGAGGTCGCCGGGTACAATTAAAGCTGCTTGACGATTTGCTACAACTAGATCTCCTCGAATCTGTTGCCTCCAGACCGTGTCAGTTGCACTGCGGCCAGGGGCCGTCGAGAATGCACCTTGATCGGGAACTTTCTTTCCCCATTCTTTGCAGCGCCTAGAGTGCCATCTAGAGGTCATTCTGGTGAGGCTCTGAAAGAATCCGATCGGGCGCCAGCCTGGCGCGGGCTTCTGGAACAAGGCCACTGTAAGCTTGCGCGTCGCATCCAACTCGGCGTGGGGCCTAGCACGGTCACGAGGCCCATGGCCAGGCTGAAGACTGCAGGAGCAGGGCGGCCTAACAGATGATAATGGCGAGGATGGAATCCATCAACTGCAATCGTCGAACGTTTAAAGCTCTTGCTCAAAACCGGTTTCTTCAGGGTCGGAAGTCTTCGGAATGATCGTGTCGGGGGGCCGCTCGATCTCCTCATTCTCCTCCGTCTGTTCTTCTCCTCGTGCCTTCCTCCATTTCTGGACCTCATCCCAAGGCTGGCTGGCGAGACACGACGTGTGCGTGCCGTCGTCCGTCGGGGGCGTGGCCTGACGCTTATCGCCCGCCGCCTTCGTGCAGGCGTGAGACCACTTCGCTCCGTCTGACAACGCCCCCGAGCACCGGTCTCTCCATGTCAGAACTGTTTCATGTTTCTCACGGGGGAAATAGATGGAGGCCATGAACGAAGCAATATGATGAAGCGCTAAGAGTGACCCCGCACGTGCCCCCAGGAAATCCACGGCGCCTGGGGCCCGAAGAGGAGAAACTGCCAACTGCCTCGCGGTGTAGGCCAGCCCGCAACTCTAAGCCGCCAGGGAAGTGGCGCTTGAAAGCGCCCCCCCTCCTCGTCGCTGACCAAGTCGAGCGAGCCAAACTTCTGCAGGATTCTGAAATCTCCGAATACTTTCCGCCCCGAAGTAGACTGTGTAGCTCGAGGATCCTCTGAGACAGCCAATGCATGGCGCGATGCGGGCTCCTGGTGGGGGACCTCTTGGTGCGCGGCAGCTCGCCCGGGGGGGTCTCCCGAGTCGTGCGTGGACTTCCTCCTTGGGGTCCTTGAGGGCGGCATTGCAGGGCGCCCTGGAGTTCATCCCAATACCTATTGCACCATTTCGAGCAGTTAGTGTCCAAGCCTTCTTGAAGCCCTCGGCATTCTTCAGGCTGAGGGGGGCGATGACCTTCGGGGGCCCGCAGAGGCTGAAGGAGACCTTCGAGGTTGTGCACCAGGTCTTGGTAGTCTGGATGGAGGCTCAGGAGCTGGGCCCACAGGTATGTCCACTGGGAGCTTTGCGTGCCGGACCAAGCGGCGCACCGTGAGCTTGTCTAAGTCGGTCTTAAAGCTCAGGCACGCCGGTCTGTGCGGGTACAAATCTGAATTCAAATCAGTCTTGGCCGTGCCGATGCAAGGCAGAGAAGCCCCCGCCACTAGGAAGTAGTCGTAGCATCGACCAGGCGTCGCCGACACACAAGTTACAGCTGGTGACGGGATCGCCAGCTGCGCGTTCATCTTGTAGGGCGCGAAGCCCTCCTTAAACACGTGGGGCTCTAAGTTGTGGTCGCCACCAGCGATGAAAGGAAGAGAGTGGTGCAGCACACTGTCCCCCAACTGCTTGGCCATGTGCACGTTCATCTGGCCGAGGCCCTCGCCGTCCTTCCAGTGGCCGCAGTGCGCTGAAACCGCGCCCGGCACTTTGGTTTTGAAAAATGCATGGCATAATCTGTGCGCGACGAGCGGTTCATCGTAGCCTGGAGCACGCCAGGCATCAAGGTGTGCGCGGATCAAGATCGCGACTCCACTGCTGCGGCCGCCCTCGGCTGTGATGGCGCATGGAGCCCAGAGCGACTTCGAACCCAACTTGCGAACCTTTTCGCGCTCGTCCCACATCGCTTGACCTTCAATCTTTGTTTCTTGTACAAGTACTATGTGAAACTCACTCTCAAGAATGTGCGACTTTGCAGAATATACCAGCCAGCTGTTAGCATTGATAGTGAGGATCTGCAAGCCGCCTCGGGAGTGCCGCGTCCGCGGCGGGTTGCCCAGGCGGCAGCCTGGCACCCGCCGCCGCAGCCTCCTCCTCGTTCCCGCGCTTGGCTGCGTTGGCAGCCGCCTCCTCGGCTGGGCGCCTGCCCGCCATGGTGGCAAAGGGGCATGGGCGCGTCGGCAGCCGCTGCTGCTGCCTCCTCTCCTGCACCTCTGGCCGCCGTCGCTTCCTCAGGAGCTGCCGCCACCTCTGCTTCAGCTTCGGCTTCTTGGCATTGAGGTGGCTCTCCCTTTGGCGCTGCGCGGCCTCTGCCCGCAGCGCCGCTGGGCCCCATGCCGCGAAGGTGCGCCGCGAACTCTGCCATGGGCGCCGCCAAATGCTCCGTGAGGTCATCGGGGAGGCTGATGTGCAGGAGACTCATGCTGTTGAGAAACGACTGAGCTGTGTCGATCGGTCCACTCTGCGCCATAGCCATGGTCGCTGCCCCTTTGCCTGCTGGAAGAGCCAACCCTGGAGGCAACTGCGACCTGTAAGGGTCCTGGAGAGCAGACTGCTGCTCCCGCAAGAGGTTGGTAGACCTTTAGCTCCAGCTCCGACTTCGTGACCTTCGCCGCCTCAATGTCGGCGATCAGCAGCGCGCGCTTCACCTCGAGGTCGTCGAGGTTCTGCTGCTGCTTCTCTGTGTGCCCAGACTGCTGCTCGAGCTGCTGCTGGGCTTTATGCAACTTGGTGTATATCGCCTGTGCCATCTGACTCTCAGTTCGATCAAAATCGCGGTCAAGACGAAGCTGTGCCAGAACTCCCTCGGGAGCCGTCATCGCCTGTACAGTTCGGGCCTCATCCGGGCCCTCTGCCTTCGACTCCATCCCTTTCAAGAGGTCCAGGGACTGCTGCAGCTTGAGGATCCGCGGGCCCGTCTTCTTCTCATCGGTGCTCTTTTTGGGCTTCGCCCCTGGATCCGCCGCGTCTGGACGTCCAGGATCCGCTGGTGGTGAAGCCTCCCAGTGCCTTCCCCGCTGCCAGCACCACTGGTGACGAAGGCTAACACTGGCAGAACAATGCTCGCAACTCCATGAGAAAAACTGCGCCTCCTGAGGCGGTGGCGGCGGCGTCTTGGACTTGGCTGGGGCCTTGCCCTTGCCTTTGCCCTGGCCTCCAGGGGGCTGGCCGCCTTTCCGCCCGCCTTTACATCGGCCTCCCATCGCGTAGAAGAAGAAACGGAGGTAGGATGTGATCCCCCCAGCGGCCCTGCTTTGGCCCAGGTCGGAAGTGCAGGGGGATGCTGGACGGCGCTGTGCCACTCGAGCCCTCACCCTCTCGAGCGAGAGGGAAATGGCTTGAGCCAAGCTGCGGACCTCCTCCTCCTCCTCCTCTTCCTCCTCCCCCCTCCTCCTCCCCCCTTCCCCCTCCTCCCCTTTCTCTTCCCTCCTCCTCCTCCTCCTCCTCCTCCTCCTCCTCCTCCTCCTCCTCCTCCTCGCCCCTCCCAGCGTCAAACCGTGTGAGCGACGCGGGGCGGGGCGACCGCGCTCCCGACTTGGGCTGGGGGCCCCTGCGGCCGTAGGAGGGCAACTCGGGCAGCTTGTCGAGGTCCTCGCGGGAGAAGTCGATGCGCGCATCCTCGGTCTCCTGGGTCAGAGGGGATTCGCGGGGCGGGGTGGGCGGGGCGGAGGAACATGCAAGGTCGCGCTCATGTGCCTTCTCACTTCGTCCTGATCCGTCCTCCCCTCCCCTTTCTCTCTCCTCCCTCTCCTCCTCCTCCTCCTCCCCCTCCTCCTCCTCCCCCTGCTCCTCCTCCTCCTCTCCTCCTCCGCCTCCTCCTCCTCCCCCCCCCTCCCCTCCTCCTCCTCCTCCTCCTCCTCCTCCTCCTCCTCCTCCTCCTCCTCCTCCTCCTCCTCCTCCTCCTCCCCTTCTGTTTCCGCCTCCTCCTCCTCCTCCTTCTCGTCCTCCTCCTCTTCCTCCTCCTCCTCCTCCGAACAGTTTTTGTCTCGGATCGTTGACACCAAGACGCGACGGCTCAAGCAAGCCAACGTTTGTCCACGACGCGGGTGCTTCGGCAGTGACACCCACCGCGGTTTCGTCCTCAACCTCCTCTCGTGATCCTCATCCGTCTTCCCCCTCCGTTCTCCTCCTCTGGAGCCCGAACTGGCCGCAAGCAGGTGAGCGCCAGCAGGCTACAGCAAGCCAGGGCCCTCCTCCTCCTCCTCCTCCTCCTCCTCCTCCTCCTCTTCTTTCTTCTGTCATGAAGCGCAAGAAACCTAGGTTTCCGCTTTTGGCTATCAGCTTTCCAGTGCCAGAAGAGCTGCAAACTCAAGCGATGCTTCGTCAATGGCTATTGCCTGTGCTCGGAAAACAGTGCACGGCAATTCGATATATGTTCCATGCGCAACTAACGGCTCAAACGTCCATCCCTCCAACGTTTGCCCCCAAATGCCGCCGCCGCGCAGTCACCCTGCGGAGCCCACCGTCTGTCCTCCTCCCTTTCCTCCTCCCCCCCCACACATCCTCCGCCCCATACCCAAAGTCATCCTCCCTCCCTCCCTTGCCTCGTCTGGGCTCCCCGCTGGGACTGCAAGCGGGGAGCAGCAGACTAGTGCGCACCACCAGACTCCCACTATAATGGGCCCGAAGCTGCAGCAGCGTGTCCCTAAAGCGCCCCCGCGCGCCTGGAACATTTCGAATCCATACATTTAGAAGTGCTAGGTTTTGTATACGTATAAAATTCGAAGACTTGCACTTCGCAGACACACATTATAGGTAGTATGCTTCTCCTTATGCTTGTTTCGGTATGCGCATTTCGTTCCCCCGGAGGCTGGAGGAGACGACAAGACCGGATGAACAGAGGCGGAGGAAACAGAGGAGGAGAAGGAGGAGATGGAGGAGGAGGCAGGGAAGCAGATGGAGGAGGAGGAGGAGGAGGAGGAGGAGCAGGAGGAGGAGGAGAGGGAGGAGAGGAAGGAGGACGATGAGGAGGAGGACCCGTGTAAACCCAGGCCCTATACAACGAGTCATTTCCACTGATGGAAGTGCCCTGCCCCGTTGGGAGACAACAGTTGGAAGATCCCTAAACGTGCCAAAACAACATTCTCGGGACCCCAACGCCACATCCCAAACACCATTTCTGCTACGCTAGCGCTTGGAATCGGCGAAACTCTTACAATTATTTAAAACGGAAGTGCGCGGCGCCACGGCGGCGGCGCTAAGGCGAGAGCCACATTTTGAAAACCACCCGCCCTTCATTTGTGAACCTGTTGCCAATTTCTTAAGCTTCACGATCACACGTGGTAGAGAAATCTCAGGCGAAACGCCCAGCCCGCCCTTCCGACTGGCCTCGGGGTGCGACTGGGAGGAGGCACTTGTAACGAAAAGGAATGGAGGAGGCGCAGGAGGAGGAGGGGAGGACGAGGAGGAGGAGGAGGAGATGGAGGAGGAGGAGGAGGGATCCTTCCTCCTTCTCCTTCCTCGATCCTCGGTCTCGATTCTCGGTCTCGATTCTCGGTCTCGATCCTCGGTCCTCGGTCCTCTGTCCTCGGTCCTCCTCTTCCTCCTCCTCCTCCTCCTCCTGGTTCGATCCTCGATTCTCCCCCCCCTCCTCGAACCTCGACCTTCGATCCCTCCCTACCTCCTCGACCCTCGAACTCGATCCTCCCTCCTCCTCGAGGGGGCGACTTGCGGGCCTCCGCCGCCTGGTTCAGGACGGCGGCGACCTCTCGCGCCGCGGGGCCGGTGCGCGGATCCCAGGCGCCGCGCAGGTCGCGCCGCCCCAGGGGAGGGGGGCGGGCGCGGCGGGTCCAGCTCGGGAGGGTGGGCTTCGGCCTGCGGGTGGTGAGCCACATCGTGCAGGCTGCGTCCACGCTTTCATGAAGGGGCCCCTGCAGGACACACAAATAAATACACACAAATAACAGGATTCCCCCCCCATTTTCAAATCTTTCCTGGATTTTTTTCTTCCCCCCCACTGCCCATATTTTCCCATATTCTCTGGGGAATCGACGATTCACTGTGTCTGTGTGTGTGTTTTTTTCCCTCCTGATTTCAGACGATCTCGCCATCTTCGAGCACAGCCGCCAGCTTTCGCCTGGGACGGCCGGCGGCAGGGGGCGCAGCCCTGCAGAGACCTGTTTCCTCCGCCCCCCCCTGTTGCGCAGCGCATCCCCGATGGGTGCAGTCGGGCCGCTGACCTAAGGAACGACACATAAGGAACGCGTTGTTTTCAAATACACGTCGCTCATTTCTAATCGTGCTCATTTCTAATCGTGCTCGTTTCTAGTTGTTCCTGGCCCCCTAGTGGCCAGGAAGAGGCCCAGGACAGAACAATTAGAAATGAAAGGATCCTGGCCCCCAAGAAATCAAGGAATTTTCGAAGAATTAGAAATGAACGGTGTGTACAGTAGAAACGTGTATTGAGGACGGGTGGTAAGGGCGCAGAGCCCTTGGAGGCCGAAGTTGGACTTTTTGGGCGGGCGAGAAATGAAGACGGCAACGGGCTTCCACGGGCGGGCCTCAGAGGCAACGGGCACGAAGATACCTGAGACGAAGGCGCGCGTCCTACTAGGCGCATTGGCTGTACTGGCGAGGCCGGGTGGACGCCCAGAAGGCGGTGCTGGAGGATCGTTCCCCGTCCCTCCCTGGCAACCGCTCATGCTGCTCTGAGATCCGCGCGTCGAATCTTTGCACACCGGTCGGTTTCGCTCTGCTTCGGGCCCCGGGGACCCCGCGGATCGAGCCAGCTCGGGAACAAATAGCAAAACGATCGGGCCTAGGGCACCCTGGGGGTCAGACCGACTGGATGGGCAGGCGTTGGAGGCAACAGGGGAGAACAAGATGTGAGCGCGAGGCCATATTGCTCTCGTGAACTGCTCCCCGTGGCTGCGGTCGAAATCGTCTTGCGCTGGCGTCTCGCCCCCTCCCCTTGCTCCCCACCCAGTGATGCATGGAGGCGACGCACCTCTCCGCGGGTCTGGCCCGGGACGCCGGGCCTCAGCCACGAGGCCCCCCCCCCCAGGGGTGCTCGCGCCGTGGAACGATACCGGCCTCGTCCGGCCTCCGTCCTCCGGGGGCCTCCGTCTGGCCTCCGGGGGCCTCCGGCCTCCGGGGGCCTCCGCCGGGCCCCCGGGGCCTTCGCTGGTCTTCGCCTCGTCCGGCCTCCGGGGGCCTCCGCCGGGCCCCCGGGGCTGTCGCAGGACGGCTCGGGGTGCAAAGCCGGTGCCGGCGGAGGGGTCCGGACCTCGGGGGGCCTCGGCGCTGCGAAGCAGCTGCGGCGCCGTGGGCCCGGGAGGCCGCCCCGCGCCCTGCGCGCGCGGTCCAGGGCGGCGGAAGCCTCTCGCTGGATGGGGGGGGGCCCGCTTGTGAAGTCGGCGGCGCAGAGGGTCCCCAGGCGCGAGCAGCAGGTGGAAGTGCCAATTGCGATCGAGCGCTGTCGAAGGCACAGGTGTGCAAACCGCTGCTCGAGAGGAGGGGGGGCGCTGTGCGCCCCGAGGGCGTCGTGATCTAGCGGGGTGCGCCCTCCGTCGGGCTCGGGACGGCGGAGCCCTCTCGCTTCGAGTAGGGGATTCGAGTACGAAATCGACCTGCCAAGCCTGACCTGCCCGCCGAATCCGCGGCAAAAGCGCAGGACTTCCCGCAAGTCGACGGAGCAGCGTACGCTCGTTTCGCAAAGTCGGCGGGGCAATCAATCTTAGGGTACATCGGTTCTGTAGCTGGACGAGCGCGTTCCACTACTCGCAAAGTGACTGCTCGCAAATGGCCCGGATCCTCCGCGGAAGATCTGCGATAAAAGTTACTCAACGTCTGACGCATGGTTTTCCGGACGTTTGCGAGTAGGCACTTTGCGAGTAGTGGAACGCGCTCGGCGAATAGCCGATCCCCCACTCGATCGCCGGGGAGCCCCGCGCGCACCCGCGCCGCGCGGCCGCGCCGCCCCACGGGAGGGGTGGGGGGCGGGGTGGGGGGGGCGGCGGGCGGGCCCAGCCCCCGGAGGGCGGGCTGCACCGGAGGCGCCGAGGAGGGCGCCACGAGGCGCGAGTCTCGAGCAGGGGATCGACGGCGGGAATGGTCTGCCCGCCGAGTCCTCGCGAGGCTCTGGAACAAAGGGTCTGGTGCTTGCTCCCCGAGGCACTGTGCTGGCTCGGCGTCTGCACGCGCCTCTTCTCGCATGTTTTTTTTTTTTTTATTGCAAGTGCGTCTTCGGTGTGCCACTTTCGGCCGATGCGCCGTCAGGGCGCGGCTCTTGCCTGCCCGCCTGCCGTCGAGGTCCATGAGCAACGCGCAGAATCGTCGTAGGGCTACGAACATGCTACGCAGTGTTCATAGGCTCGGTGAGAAAATTACCTAACAGCGAAGACTGATAGGCTTCTAGTAGGGTCAAAAGAGAGCATCATGACTCCCCAAGGGGGTCTGGGCAGATGCCGGACGGGTGCCGGGGAAAACCGGAGACTCTTTTTTAGCCATCAGTAACGCACTTCGTGGTCTTCGAGTTCCTAGAACTCCATTCCTGGGCATGATTTTGAATGCCTGGAGCCAACTGTAGGCCACTTCGTGTTCTTCGAGTTCCCCTAACTCCATTCCTGGGCATGATTTTGAATGCCCACAGCCAACTGTAGGCCACTGCGGGTTCTTCGAGTTCCCAGAACTCCATTCCCGGGCCACATTTTGAATGCTGAGGCAAGCTGATGCTGAGGCTGAGGCAGGCTGGGGCAGGCGGAGGCTGAGGCCGAGGCTGAAGGCAGACTAAGGCCGAGGCTGAAACAGGCTGAGGCTGAGGCAGAGGCAGGCTGAGGCTGAGGCTGAGGCAGGCTGTTGCTGAGGCTGAGGCTGATGCAGGCTGATGCAGGCTGAGGCTGAGGCAGGCTGAGGCTGAGGCCGATGCTGAAGGCAGACTGAGGCTGAGGCTGAAGCAGGCTGAGGCTGAGGCTGAGGCAGGCTGAGGCTGAGGCAGGCTGAGGCTGAGGCTGAGGCTGAGGCTGAGGCTGATGCAGGCTGAGGCTGAGGCAGGCTGAGGCTGAGGCCGAGGCTGAAGGCAGACTGAGGCTGAGGCTGCAGGCTGAGGCTGAGGCAGGCTGAGGCTGAGGCTGAGGCTGAGGCAGGCTGATGCTGAGGCAGGCTGAGGCTGAGGCTGAGGCTGATGCAGGCTGAGGCTGAGGCAGGCTGAGGCTGAGGCCGAGGCTGAAGGCAGACTGAGGCTGAGGCTGAAGCAGGCTGAGGCTGAGGCTGAGGCAGGCTGAGGCTGAGGCTGAGGCAGGCTGATGCTGAGGCAGGCTGAGGCTGAGGCTGAGGCTGATGCAGGCTGAGGCTGAGGCAGGCTGAGGCTGAGGCCGAGGCTGAAGGCAGACTGAGGCTGAGGCTGAAGCAGGCTGAGGCTGAGGCTGAGGCAGGCTGAGGCTGAGGCTGAGGCAGGCTGATGCTGAGGCAGGCTGAGGCTGAGGCTGAGGCTGATGCAGGCTGAGGCTGAGGCAGGCTGAGGCTGAGGCCGAGGCTGAAGGCAGACTGAGGCTGAGGCTGAAGCAGGCTGAGGCTGAGGCTGAGGCAGGCTGAGGCTGAGGCTGAGGCAGGCTGATGCTGAGGCAGGCTGAGGCTGAGGCTGAGGCTGATGCAGGCTGAGGCTGAGGCAGGCTGAGGCTGAGGCCGAGGCTGAAGGCAGACTGAGGCTGAGGCTGAAGCAGGCTGAGGCTGAGGCTGAGGCAGGCTGAGGCTGAGGCTGAGGCTGAGGCAGGCTGAGGCTGAGGCTGAGGCTGAGGCAGGCTGAGGCTGAGGCTGAGGCTGAGGCAGGCTGAGGCTGAGGCTGAGGCTGAGGCTGAGGCTGAGGCTGAGGCTGAGGCTGAGGCTGAGGCTGAGGCTGAGGCTGAGGCTGAGGCTGAGGCTGAGGCTGAGGCTGAGGCAGGCTGAGGCTGAGGCTGAAGGCTGAGGCTGAGGCTGCAGGCTGAGGCTGAGGCTGAGGCTGAGGCTGCAGGCTGAGGCTGAGGGCTGAGGCTGAGGCCGAGGCTTGAGGCAGCAGGCTGAGGCTGAGGCTGAGGCTGAGGCTGCTGGCTGAGGCTGAGGCTGAGGGAGGCTGAGGCTGAGGCTGAGGCTGCAGGCTGAGGCTGAGGCAGGCTGAGGCTGAGGCTGAGGCTGAGGCTGAGGCTGAGGCTGAGGCCGAGGCTGAAGGCAGACTGATGCTGAGGCTGAAGCAGGCTGAGGCTGAGGCTGAGGCAGGCTGAGGCTGAGGCAGGCTGAGGCTGAGGCTGAGGCAGGCTGAGGCTGAGGCTGTGACTGCGACTGCCGTTGCCACTGCGACTGTCATCGCGAATGCGACTACGACTGCGAGAACAGCAGAATTCTACAACTGGATTCTCATCTGAATCTTAAGGGGAATGCTTCCAAATATGCTCCTACACATTGCTGTGAGGTTGCTTTGCCGGGATAATCTCTTTTTTTGGAGGGGAGGAAATCGATTCTGTAGTTGCTCCCCTATACTCGAGTGGGAGAAGGGGGGGGGTCCACCGCGCCGTCGCCCAGGGCGCATGTGCGGACACCGGGGAGGCCAAGAGGGGTGCGCGCTGGCAGGAGGGGGGGGTGGCCGGGCGGGGCCGGAACCCAGCCTGGGAGGAAGGGCGGGGCGCGTGGGGGTGCTTCGTCGGCGGTCAGCGGCCATCGGGTCGGGCGAAATGGGGGGTTAGCAAAGGGGGGGTTTGAGAATCAGCTCACGTAGCTGATTTTCCCGGCGCGTGGGGGCCTCTCGTCTGGGGGCCCCGCGCGCACCGCCCCGTGTAAGACGAAGCCAGGACGAGGATAGCACCGGGTGAAGACGAATCGAGGATCTCTAAGATCCGGAGGCTCTGGAGGATGTCTCAGGCGCCGCGGCCTTTTCAGAGCGTTCCGGAATGCTCTGAGAGCGTTATAGAATCGAACGGATTTATCCTCGTCCTGGTCCCGTCCGACCATGGGAGGCTGGGCTTCAGCATCATCGGCTACACGCAAGAGCGACCCTGCGCAAGAGTGACCTTTGGTGCGCGGACTAAGGGGGCGCAAGGTGACCAGATCCAAGCGCGCAAGCAACCACCATCGCATGGCGCGCAGTGATCGGGGGGACCCTGATGAGTCGCTCCGGCGAAGGGTCACCCTTACGTGCAGTCGAGTCGAGGCTCACCTGCCTGATGTTGCAGCCCGGTGCTGGCAACGCTGGCCTGGCAATCCGCATCCAAATAATTACGTTCCCGGCGGGGCATCCACGAAAAAACACTTTCTTTGATTCGCGGGTCGAGAGCGCACCTCTTCCGGTCGAAGCTCAGCGGGCCGCGCGAAGCTTGAATTCACAATGAGGGGGAGGAAAGGGGGAGAGCGCAGCCTCAGGGCGAGGCCGATCCACGAAAAAACGCCCAATGCCCACGGGGTCGCGGCCCGGAGGCCCAGCCCGCGAGGCCGCGGGTACCGTCATCGTGTTGCCATAGCTGTCGCACAATAAGGGGCGAAGGGGCTTTGTTGGCCACGGCGGGCCTGGTCCACAAACAGGTTCCACGACTGACCTCTGAGGAACGGCCCGAAAACCCTACAGGGCAGTTTCTTATACATAGGATTTTTAAGATATAGGATTCTTAATGCATGATTCATTTATGAATAAATTTATGCATGAACTCATCGTTGTTTTTAGTACTACATCCCTGTTTAATACATGATCCGCACGCGGAACATGTATAAACACGGCACTGTAGCCACTTCAGGCGCCCGCAGAAGCCACAGGGGAGTTCATGACTTCGACCTCTTGGGCCTCTCGAGGGTCCAAGAGGGCTTCAAGACAGCTCAAGGTGGCCCCCCCGACGGTACAAGAGGCCCCCAAGACGCCTCAAGAGGGCCTCAAAAAGGCTGCCAAAAGGGTCGCCAGAAACACACATCCTCCGTGTTCCACGTCCAGAGGCGAAGCAGAGGCGCGCTGAGCGGCAGCGTTTTCGGCGAACGGCATACGAGCAATGTTATTAATGTTTTCCGCTTGATGGGGGTAAGTGCTATAACTGATCAGGTACTTGTACGGTCTTACATTTACCTCTTTCCATCCGCGCCACTCCCCATCCGCCGACCAGGGTGGCGGGCCTATCTGGGGCCTCAAAACCTTACAACAAGAAATCAAGGCCTTCGACCTCTTGGGCCTCTTGATGGTCCAAGACGGCTCCAACACAGCCCAAGATGGCTCCAATTTTGCGCAAGACATGCTCAAAACGGCCCAAGGGACTCCCAAGACGCTTGAAGAGAGCCTCAAGAAGGCCCCCGTGAGGGCCTCCAGATGCAAAACCATGTATTGCAATCTTTGGTGTGGAGGCTTTTCAAGTTCTCACCTCCCGAGGCCTACAAGACGCCTCCAAAAGGCCCCTAACAACGGCAGAATGACACGGCAGACCGGCAAGGCAGACGAGCAAGGCAAACCGACCACCGCCCAGACCTTCTGCGATCCGGACAGGCACCTCGCCGCGAAGCGAGAGGAATCCACATCCGGAAGCGACGTGTTGCTGGGGGGAGGCTCGCGGAGAGACTGTAATGGTGTCTTCTATGTTACCAGTGCTTCTGAGTATGGGACATGAGCTTATTCTAAGTTCATCTTCCTGTTAAACACCCCATTACCCTCCTACTGGTACCACGCCAAATCCGTAGACCAAGATGGCCCGCCTCACCAGGGGCCTCAGAATTGAGCTAGCATCGCCTCGTGAGGCTGAATTTGAGAGGGCCTCCAGAACCAACTTCATTGATTCTACTCAGGTTGGGCAGACTTCAACGGTCACGCCTTTTCAACCCTCTGACGGCCCAAGACACTTCAAGAGGTGCCCAAGATCACCCAAAGACGGCCCAGAAGGCTCCCAAGAGGGCCTTAAGAATGGCCAAGAGGGCTCTAAGAGTGCGCAAGAAACTCCGCAGACTGCCAAATAGCCTTCTAAGAACTGCCCAAGAGACCTCCGATGTGGTCCAAGAGACCTGCAACAGCGCCCAAGACGCGGCTATGCAGCCCCAGGACGGCCCAATACGCCTTTAAGACGCCCAATGAGGGCCCCAAGAGGAAAAAGGGCACCAAGATGGCCGAAGAGAGCCGTAAGACGTTCCAAGAGGGCCTCAAGAGGGTCCCCGAAGACCCCCAAGACGTCAAACAGGGGCCCCAATCGGCCCAAACTGGCCAAACAAAGGGCCTCGAGCAGACCAGCACGGCATACCAGCACGGGAGACTAGCATGACAGATTCTGAATAGTCATGCGCACACACACGCACACACACACGCACACACCCGAGACCCGCAATAATACACAAATAAACCCCGCAACGCCTAGACCTTGCGCGTGCTGGACGTGGACCCCGCGGCGCGAGAGGAATCGAGCAAAACAAATTTCAGGCTAACGTCGGGAGCACTGACCATCTCCGGCGGCAGCACCAACGGTGACACGACACAACATGTAAAAGGTATCCGGGGCGCGATAATTAGTGGAGGCAGCGACCTGCTGTCCCATGGCTGGGCGCGCTGCCTCGGCATGTCCCTCCCCCCACTGAGGCAGCCGAGATTGCAACGGATCAGGCTGATTACGCGATTATCCAGGGCGCAAGCCGCCCCATGCCTGGACATGCCAACTGCGACAGCCGAGGCGGTTGGGATTAGGCTGAGCATGCGAACGTCAAGGCCGCACGCCGCCTCATCCCTGGACATCCATCAATGTGATAGTCACAAGCTTTTCTTGAACCGAGGGCGCCCACATTGCTTCCAGTTGTCAATGACAGAGTAACGCGCGCAACTACATCTAAACACGTAAGCGTGCACACGCGCGTGCGTGCATGCGTGATTTTAACTTACACAAACACGTGCGCGCATGCACACGCACACGCGCACGCGCAACACATACAGGCACACAAAGGTGATCACATTGCGCGGCATCCAACATCGCTTGCACAGCATGCCTGGCACCCCGCTGGGGCATGCCACCGGGTCAGCTCCCCCGGCTTACACTACGTTGCAATACCTGACGTTAGCTTCGTTGGTTGATTCCGCATTCAGGGGCACTTGAGCGACGAAAAGAGACGGGCCTTACGCGAGATGACATAGTGACCTTATATGCGGTGGCTTACGCGGGCCGCCAGCGCGGCAAGCCGCGCTGGAGACGAAGGCGCTCACGTGCGACCCTGCGCGGGCAACTTCCGCGCCAACGTCGGCGCAGTGGGACCCGTTTTTTTTTTTTTTTTTTTTTTTTTGTTTTTTTGTTTTTTATTTTTGTTCTTTTCGTCGCCCACTGGGCGTTTTCTGCCCTCCGCCCATCCCGCCCCGCCCTCCCCCTGCCCTCTACTCCCTGTGGTCCAGGAGCAGCTCTTCGACCCCCTGGCCAGAGGCAGGCCAGAAACCTCTCCTGCTACTGCTGCTGCTCCTCCTTTTCCTCCTCCTCCTCCTCCTCCTCCTCCTCCTCCTCCTCCTCCTCCTCCTCCCCCTCCTCCTACCCTCTTCGTCCTCCTCCTCCTCTCTTCGTCATGTTCCTCCTGCTGCTGCCTCTCTTCCTCCATGCTGCTGCTGCTGCTGCCGGCTCAAAGCTTTGGGTGCAGGGCCAGTCCCTGCGAGCCTTCCCGGGGCAACTGCCATATGCGTCCGACCAGCCGCCACCGTGTGTGGCTGGACGACCGTGACAGGTCGTCGCCTCGCCGGTGCAGCCCCACGCCCCAGCGGGCTGGAGGGCAGTTGAGCCACACGCCACGTACAGACCAAGGACCAGAGCCCGCGTGGCACCGTCGGGCACGCACGCAGAGAGCAGCAGCTCGAGCTCTTCTACGAGTATCGGCCGCTCGAGGTCTCCTAGCAGCTCACCACAGCTCGATGCCCAATGCTCCACCATGGGCCACAGACGCAGTGTCCAGCGGGGGCCAGTCAGCACCGCTTGCTGCCAGCTGGCGCTGTTCGCAGTGTGGTGCATCCAGCTGGCCGTCAGCTCATCTATGCCAACGGTGTTCTCCTCCCAGTGGGGATCTCGACCTCGTGGCGGTCGTTCCCAGCAGCCGCCCCGCCGCTCGAGCACATTGGATCGAGGTGCAGCCAGTCGCCCTCCACGCGGAGCCTCCAGGGAGCCGGGAGGAACCGCCGCCACTTCCAGATCGCCCACGGCAGCTTCCCAGCCAGGAGGTGCCACAGCAGAAGCAGACTCACTACCCTCTTCCTTGTCAATCCTCCCCGCCTCGCCCGAGACGGCCAAGGCGCAGGAGTGCTGGGTAGGGCAACCTACAGGGACCAAGGAGATGGGGCCCAACATCGTGCCCAGATCAAAACCACGCTCGCCGCTTTGGAGAGCCGTATTATCAATCGTCGAGCGCTGTGCGCCACCCCAGATCAGTTGCGACCGCTCGAGACCGAATACGCAGTCTTTCTTTTCATGCACATTCACGCTTATGGAACGCGAAACAGAGTGGCCAACCAGGAACACATCCGGACAAGGCCAAGAACCGTTAATCAGATGCCAAGACCGCGGGAAAGACAACCGAGATTGCACTCACCAAGGCCACCGCCATGCGCGAAGCTTTACAAGATGACTACGATCACTCTACGGAATTGTGGGCCCATTCAAGGATTCACAGCTTCAGGAGGAAGCGGATGCAGCAGCAGCAGCAGCAGCAGCATCAGCACGTGCAGAGGCAACTCAGTCAACGGCCAATGCAGAAGCAGCGGGTCGCTCGGTGCAGTTCGGACCAGTCCCTATGGCGATCGACACTCCTCCTCCCAGTGCCCGTCCGCCAGCACCGCCGCCGCCTCCACGTCCTTGTCCTACTGTTCCTCCGTCGGTAATGTCATTGCCCACAGTCATCACCGAGTTGCAAGCAGGCGCTTACCCAGCAACTCTCAACATTGGCGCAAACATTTGCGACATTGCAATTGTCGATTCAGGCAGCGTTACCTCAGGCAGCCAGTTCAGCTCATGCAGTACAACGTGGTCAGCTCCCCACAGCCATGCAGTTTGCGACGCAGCCCACGACTCCACATGCGCAGCCACCTGCAGCGGTAACAGTCAGTACAGCAGCGGCGCAGGTCGTGCTTACCACTCCAGCCGCAACAACAAAAACAACAAATGTTGGAGATGGAGCTGGGATCCGTGCAAGCTCGCTTTCTCCAAACGAATTACCTCACGTCTCAGAGGAAAAACTTGCAGCTTTCAAGGCGGCTGGCACCAATGCATCGTCAAACGCCAACAGCACTCCTCCGCCTTGGCCACTACAGCATGGCAGCTCATGTTCTGGTCGCAAAGCTGCAGACCGCACCAAATGGCAGCAGCAGGCAGGGTCATTGCCAGGTCAGCTTGGCATCGCAGCCTCGCCTAGACGCGCAGCCGAGGCACCCCCCGTCGACGAACCATATTCCAAGTTACAGATGATCGACGGCGACAACCAGAGTTTTCAAGACCCGAACTGTGGGGGAGCATGAGTTCCGAGAAACACGAGGTGCAGGACTCTGACGCGGGCATACCAAGCCAACACCATTCGGGATAACCCCACACCTCAGACTCGTTTACTGCCCCGATTCGAGGATGTTCGTTCAGCCCTCTTCCCCATTCCCAATCATGGATTCACAAGCTGTTGGCCCCATGGGGCCGACAGCTCCCCAGGGACCTACTCCCCATCGCTCAGTACTTGCACTCGTCTACTCTTCAAGCTCTACCAGGCCTCTCTCCCATCGAAGACATCGGTGAACATCGTAGACTACTTATCTTCACGGACGGTTCAGGTGGAGGTAAACATGCTATACCTCATGAATCGTTCACGCGGAGGTCCAAAGGGTTACCCAACTGGGCCTTCGTGGTGCTCTTGGAAGATATATCCGGTAAGGTCGCCCTTCTCGGCTATTTGGCCAGCACCTTTGACCCGGGGGGCATTCCGCCCGAGCTTTGCTCCTTCCTCTCGGAAATTCTTGCGACCCAATGGGCCATGGCTTGGGTTCTTCAGTGGCGTGATTTCCAGGGGCCGAATTTTCATGTGGACATGTACTGTGGTAACCTTGAGGTGATTTCCGTGTCAGGACATTCAGACGACCCATGTAATGAGTTTGCAGTCGCGCTAACCACTCTTGTTTCAATGCAGCTGTTTGCTTTTGCATCGTACCTGTCTTTTGCCTGGCGCGATCACCAGCTTTCTATGCAGGCGCTCAGCTGGGTTTGGCTTGAATTTGTTCACTCAAGTATTCGTGCCCATCAAAAGATCAGCCTCTTCCGAAGTCCAGCGCGCCCGCGCGCGGTATTTCAAGCGTGGCTCCGCCGTGCCCTGAGGTTTCTGGTATCAAGGTCCCTCTCGGCTCCAATAGGGTTGCCCATGCGAGGTCCCTCTGCGTGGTCTCCGCCAAGGTGCTCACCATGGGCACCAGGGCCTTCAGGGTCAAAAGAGTGTCTGGATTGTACCTTCCAGGTCGCATGGCCCACTTGGGCCACATGTTATCCAAGCGCCGCGTCTTCCTGGCAAGTGTTCCGGAAATGCATTTCCCACGTGATGGATATTCTAGTATAGGAGATTATCATTCCCTACCTAGGCTCTGCCTAGAGGGTTCTTACTTTGTTTGCTTAAAAGGGGCCGGGCAGTGTAGGCCGCCCCGGGCGGTTCCCCCAGTCCCCGCCCCGCGGTTCCCCCAGTCCCCTGGGAGCTTTAGCTTTAGCTTTAGCTTAGCTTTAGCTTAGGTTTAGCTTAGCTTCAGCTTAGCTTTAGCTTCGCTTTAGCTTAGCTTTAACTTCGCTTTAGCTTAGCTTTAGCTTAGCTTAAGTTTAGCTTTAGCTTAGCTTTAGCTTAGCTTTACTGTTACTACTAATGCTGCTTTCCTAGGGGCTCCAACTTCTAGGTTGGGTCACACTTGGATAATGTTATTTGCGCCAGTGCTGACGCTCACCGCCGATATGGTTGTTCTTTATGGATAAACACGAAATGCACTTACAATGGTTCTTACCGGCTTATTGCCAAGCATTGCAAAGCGTTGTTCGCTTCCCCTCGCTTGCTCATCGTTGCTACCCGCCAGAGAACCTTCAATTTGAATGTGATCGTGGGGCATGCGCCCAACTGTGAACCTGGCAAAACGACCATAGATGATTGGTGGGCCTCTTTCTCCACGCGCTTACGGCATCTACTCGTTCCTGACATTCCAAAAGTCCACCTTATCGATGCTAACGCCAAAACCGGGTCCAACATTTCAGAGGCCATTGGTAACGTGCACCCGGAACCCCAGAACTACATTGGTCAGTGTTTTCACGAAGCCCTACTAGAACGTCGACTTTGCAACCTGCTACCTTCCGTTGCACAAGTGCTAGCGGGGCCACTTGGTTTGCTCCTACGGGCTCCAATCTTTAAAAGTGTCGGCGACTGGATTACATAGCTTGCTCCCGAGATGTACTAGTACTACAGGCGGTAGTCAAGGGTGATATCGACTTGGCTATCTTAATAGTAAATCACAAAGAGGTGGGCGCTTTGTTACAAATCCCCCTCACCTTTCCGAAGAACCGACAAGTCACAAAGTGTCCTAAGATCAAATGCGACCCAACAGCCTTTA